AATTTAACCCTTTTTTTTGTAAGTTGCCTTGGTTGTGGTGTTTTGTTGGGTCAATAGAACAGTGACTAAAGCAGACGCTTCTGTTTGAAATACAAATGCTTTTTGGAAACAAAAGAAAACTATCATGTGAAATTTTGCTATAGAAAAGAAAGAACATTTGCCCCATCCACAATCTTAATCTTTTTTTTTTTTTTTTTTTTTTTGGTTTTTCGAGACAGGGTTTCTCTGTGTAGCTTTGGAGCCTATCCTGGCACTTACTCTGTAGATCAGGCTGGCCTCCAACTCTCGGAGATCCACCTGTCTCTGCCTCCCAAGTTCTGGGATTAAAGGTGTGTGTTACCACCACCCGGCCACAATTTTCAAATGAGACATTGTTTGGGTCATTTGCTTTATTTGAAAGCCACAGATACTTCCCAGTTATAAATGCAGGTCTGTCTTAGTGTCCAATTCCTTCCTAGCCCTTGGTGATACTATGGGGTGCCCACCAGAGAGACCACTCAGATTCAGTCTGTATAGCCAGTTGAAAGCCTTTATTCTAGCAGGCTGGGAATACACTCAGTTGTTTGGGACCCTAGTGTAGCACTAAGTGTATAGAGTAAGGGGTTTTTAAAGGCAAAACCCACATCCTGGTGTCTTCCTCCACAGCTTCAGCTGAAGGTCCTGCACAAACAAGCAGTTTAACAGACCCTGTGATAACTTGGTCATCTTGGGCATCTTAACCTTGGGTTCCTAGAATAGTGTTGTATAATAATTTTCCTCCTGGCTTCTTATCAAGGATGCTATTGCCAGGGCCCCAGAGTCTGGGCTCTGCAGTAGGTGCTGAGCCTTGGCTGGGACTGTGTTCTGCTCTGCGTAGGTCAGAGGCTCATAGATCACAGGCTGTTTTCAAGTATGTCTGCCTATGGTGGGAAATTACCAATACGGAGTCAGGTAGAAATATAAGGGTATTTAATAGGGAAAAGCCTTACTTACAGAGCGACCTAGCCAGCCGGCCTGGCAGCAGTCTGTATGCAAACCCCAAAGAGAGAAACCGAAAGTGAAAACGCAGTCACCCTATGTCCCCTGACCATGCACTCGCAAGCTTGTGAGGGCGTGGCCAGGCACACCTGTAGCCAGCCCCTAAGTAGGCGTGGCTACAGCTTCCCCTACATCTGCCCACAAATCATTTCTAAACTGCTCATCTGGGGGAACTGAATCTGTGTCTTTCTTTTTGTTTCAGGTTCCTGTATGAATCATCAATGAGAACTTTGGGAGAATTTCTGAATTCATGACAAAACCACCATCTCTGGGTGTGTAGAAATAGAGAGAAAGATTCATGAAAGTGAAATGTGTATATATCTTTCTTGCTTTTTCTTCTTTTGTCAGAGTAAGCCTTGAGGCCTGAGTCTGTAGCTACCCAAAGATGAAGGCCAGTACAGCTCTGGTGCTCTACCATACACACTGTGCCTTTAACCAGCTGGCAGAGATGGAGAGTGGTAAAGATGAGTGGGAAAAAGACTGGCAGGCAGCTCTCACTCTGCCCCAGAAGCCTTGGCAATGCAAATGGGAACTGTGGCCTTGGCCAGCTCTTGACTTCATTGGCATGTGACTTACCTATTATTTATTACTTGTTATGAAAATTTCATTGGAACATATTTCTCTTTGGCCTTTCATCAGGGCTACCATTAGCCCATACAGAATCTTTGTTCAAATGGTGAAAAGAAATCACTTTGCCAAGACATTTTACTGCCATCTGTTGTACAGTTGTAATAAATACCCAAATTATACAGCACTGATATGAAGTGTCTACTTACTCCATCGCACCTTTGTGGTGCTCAACTTCTATGTCTGAACCCAGCAACCCTACTCCAAAGCCAGGAGCCTTCTTCCATTAAAGGTCGTTATCAGATCAGAGACGACTTCTTGTTTGTGTACCATACACAATCAGGGATAGTGCAGAAATCAGGTTCAAAAATGCCTGCCAAAGTGCAAGTGAATTGAGGAAGTGTGCTAGGAGTGAGTTGCTACTTAGAAAATGATTGTCATATCTTAAGGACACTGTAGACTGTTACTCAATGGATGCACACTCCCAGATGGCCCTGTCTTTCCTCCTGCTCAGGTCTATGGCAGAGGCACAGGCCTTTTCCTATATTGGTGATTACAGAAGAGTAAGCAGAGGTTTGTCCAGGGCCCATATAAATAATGGGTTAATAGCTGGGCAGTGGCGATGCACTCCTTAATCCCTGCACTTGGGTGGCAGAGGCAGGAGGAATCTGTGAGTCTGAGGTCAGCCTGGTCTACCAAGTGACTTCCAGGACAGCCAGGGCTACACAGAGAAAAATGCTGTCTCGAACAACAAAAGCAGCAGCAAATAATGGATTAATCATGTGAAAGAGAGAAAAGGATCTGGCTTTAAAGTGACACAACATGGCACCCATGGATAGCCAGTGACAAGTTTGTGTCCGCTCCCCTGTGCACATGTGGAGAAGCAGTGGCACTAGCACCGTGTCAGAAGAGTCCTCTGCCTCAGGACAATGCTAGGCTTCTATAGCCTCTGTCACCCCCTGAGCAACCTTCCCTCAGCGAAGACTCTGGTGAGCAGGATTGCATGGCCTGAACTCAGGGTCGGTAGCTCAGAGATCATCACATTGGTGAAGACAATTGATGCCCTCAGCAGGTGGTAAAGATGGAAGATGGCCCGATCAAGCTGAGAATCGGGACACCACACAGTGTTAGACTGTTGCAGAAATCAAACCAGTTTGCAATCTAGTTAGTTGGCAAACTAAGAAAACTTGCCTGTTTTAATGACCCAGCGTAGCTGAGGTGTGCTCCTGGAAGACCATTTGCAGAATAAGAAGAGTTTATACATCATGACACAGCATGTCTTGCAACTTACTGAAGACCAGGAAACCGAGTCCTAAACGTCTGTGAGGAAAAGGCACGTTTGACTGCATGACCAGATCTTCAGTGAGCAAGAGGTTCTCCAGGAAGCTGGCTTTGAGATTATTGAGACAGAACCACTACCACAAGAAGACGGAGCCTTTGGTGCTCGTGTGCTTGGGAAATAAGTCTCTTCTGGATGGAATGAGTGCAGAGATACACAAAAGACCTCAGAAGACAGCTAAACAGATTACAAATGTCTTTGTACTTGTTGGTGGCCATGTAAATGAGAAGCCATTGATTATTCCCCCACCGCACCTCTTAAGACTTTTCCTCTCGTTTTTTTTTTTTTTTTTTTTTTCCTCCTTTTGTTCCTCTTAAGGTTGTAATACTTTCAGAGACTTTTTAAAATAATAAAAGATGTGCCTTTAACTGATCTGAAGAAGTTGGTTACTAACTTTCTCTTTTTTTTTAGTATGTCAATTATAACCTTAAAAATGGAGTTATATCCTTATAGGTTAATCTGTCTCTAAGTAAATGTGGTGCAGGTGTTTTCTCTTTGGCATATGAAAAAATGCATAAAAATAAAAAAAAGCAAAAAGAGCGGATGGACTTGTGGCACAGTAATTATGTTTAACGTCAACTAATACAAGCTGTTAGACTTGTGGCCACCAGGCATTTGATAATATGTAAAAATGTTTGTGAAATACAACTTAGCTAATGCTGTTGCTTAGCTATTGGAGAACATCCCAGATTTGAATACATTCTTTTATACTTAGATTAAAAATTGGAGATAAATGGAATTATTCAACATTGCCTCTATTTTTAGAAAAATAGAAATATAAATGTTAATACAAATATCACCGAGACTTCTACTTACAGGTCTGGTTCATGCCGGATCATCTTCAGGCTCTTAGGGAGTAGCTCTGACAAGTTGATAACTTTGTAATTGTAAGAGACATGTGAAATGCTCATATTTTCCTCATATTTTCCCTTGCTAATACTTGAGTATTTTTTGATTGTTGGAACTCATCAATGGCATTAGACTTTGAATCAGTATATTCTTTTCTCCCTTTGAACTTTTAAGGGAAATTTAAGTTATTCTTTTATATAAAATTGTGGTATAAAAGTCTTGTTGGGAAATAGGTTAAATGATAGAAGCTCTGTGCATACTTTATAATATTAGCCTTTTATTTGAAAAACATGAAAGTACAAAATAAAGTGGACTTCAACAGTCTTAGCTGAGTGCCAAGAATATTTAAAAGGTACATGGTTGATGGATGTGATTATAGAATTTAATAGATAAGGAAGTGAAAATGTAGAAAGCACATGCTGGTATTTTAGGTATAGGTCTCTTAGTCCAAATCCAAGCTTAGGAAAATTTTGGTCTTAAGCTCCTTCACTTTCTGGGAAAAGCTTCTCCTTGCTCTTGCAAAGAGAAGAGGGCTTAAGTGAGCAAGAACATAGTTATCTTGAAGAAGGTCAGTCATTTTGTAAACTTGTAGGAAAGAAAACATTTTGATATATTCCCAAGTTTTCTGCAGTGGTGCTACCTCTAATTCTATAACTGTTTCATTTAGCCTGAGCAGACTTATGACTGTACCAAATAACTGCCTTACAACATGCTGTTTGAAAAGGGGAGAGGGGTACGGTTTGGATCAAATGTGTAGGCTTTCTGTCATGGCCCTTTTCCCACACCAGTCAGTGGTTTGCCTGAGTGTGGTAGAGGGTCCGTTGTCCTGTATCACATTTGATTAAACAGTTCTATCCACTTCGATGAAAGGAAGGTATAGCTGGGGTAGAAGCTGGGCATTTTACTGCCTCCATATGCCTGTGAGTCAGGAAAGACTAAAGGATTGTCCCAGTTGGAGTTTGTTTTATACATGAAAAAACAAAAACACAATCTGAGATAAAACAGTAATTCTGATCCCAGAGGAGATCAAGTTATATCTACCATTTTCCAGAACAGTTTTACTATGGGGTAGATGAATGGAAATTGTTTGTAGGTTGGAACTATTGTTATTTAGATTCTAAGAAAAGAACCTGTAGAGCAGTCTGCAATATACAGTTTGTCAAGATCAGATTCCATTTGGGGAAGGGGTTCTTAGTATCTTTAGAGTATTTGCTCGATAACTTCCTCGAAAACAACTATTGCAAAAGGTGTTGTCTGGTGGTGGAAAGAAAATCTCAGTGTTTGGAGGGAATAACTAAAAATGTTTAAATGGCTGTTTACTTGATACAGTTTAACTTGTTCTTTTTTCTTTATAATTTTTAATTAAAGATTTTTTTCACACAGTATATTGTTTTCCCTCTCCACCAAGTCCTTCCAGATCCTCCCTCCCCATATCTCCACCCACCCAACTTTATGCTCCCTCTCTTGCACAGTCTGCTTTTTCTCTCAATAAAACAAAAAACAACCCCCCCATAAAAGACAACTAAGAAACACCTTCTCACAAAAATATCAAACAAAAGACCAGCAATGTGAAAAAATGTCAAAATAAAGCAAAATGAAACAAAAACATCAGGAAAATACATTGAGTTCATTTTGTGTTGCCAACTACTGCTGGGCGTTGGGCCTGCCTAGGAGTGTGGTTGTCACACCCAGTGACATTCCATTGGAGACAACGGAGTTTCCCCTTGCCAGCAGGTACTAATTGCTGATAGATTCTTGGTTAGGGGTGGGAGCTTGTGTCTACTTCCCTCTCTCAGTGCCGGAACCCCATCTGGCTTGCAGCTGTTCAGGTCTTACTTGTTCTGCCACTCTCTGTGAGTCCATATGTGCGTCCATCCTGTTATGTCTAGAGGGTAGTTTTCCATGGAGTCATCCACCACCTCTGGCTCTTAGAATGCTTCCGCCTCCCCTTTACCATAGATCCCTGAGCCTCGAGGGGAAGGGTTTGATGAAAACATCTCACTTAGGACTAAGTGCTCCAAAGTCTCTCACTGCATGCACATCTAGTTGTGGGTTTCTGTTAATTTCCATTGACCAAAAGAAACTTCTCTGGTGAGGACCGAGGAAGCACTGAGCCACGGGTCTAGCGCTATGTCTTTAGGAGTAACTTTTTGCTGTAGTCTGGCAGCAGAATAATAGTAGGTTTTCTCCTTGGCCCATGACCCGTCCAGTCTCAGGTTCTTGGCTGCTTTAGCAGTGTCAGGTATGGATTGCCATAGTATCTGCCACAATTGCACAGTGTATCTTGTAGGCAGGCCACTGTTGTAGGCCACCAGGCTTGTAGCTGTGTGATAGTGATGATTATATTTCTCCTGCGGTAGTGTGCACAGTACCTTCCAGAACCACTAGGGCTAGTCAGTCGGGGTGAACCTTGTAGTTGGGCACCAGCTCAACTTCTCTGTTCAGTCATGTGCTGTCTTCCTCAATAGGGCCTTTCCATAAGGTTGTGAAGAGCAGTTCTCTGCCTTGGCAATTGCCTCTGATATTTGAGAGTCATGAGACCTCTTTAGCCAAGTATTGAACAAGCTGTAACTCATTCCCTGGCACTGGAGGTTTTACCTGATAACATAAGATTTCTAGTTGGGTCATTGTCTCCCTAGTGTACGGTTAACTCCATTTAGCTTCCTTTTGTATATGTATTTAGGGAAGTTTTGCAGTAGATTTACGTAAGATTTTTCAAAATGTCTTTAGTGCTGGCTTTCCCTCTATTTCCTCCTTTACTGTTCTCTCCTATCCCCCTCCCTATGTAATCCTCCTAGGCTAGTTTCCCCCTTTATCTCTCCATAACACTATATTCAATTTTCCTTCCTTGGGAGATGTCTCACCACAGCCTGTAGAATGGGGGGGGGGGAAGTCTTTACTAACTATATACCTGATGGAATGTTAGTATCTAAAGTATAAGAGTATATAAAGAACTAAGAAAACTGAACAAGAAAATAACCTAGTTAAAAATGGCATACAGAACTAAGCAGAGAGTTCTCAAAAGATGAAACACAAATAGTTGAGAGTTAAACGTTCACCATTCTTACCCATCAGAAATGCAAATTCAAACGGCTTTGAGATTTCATCTTACACCTGTCAGAATGGCCACGATCAATAAAACAAGTGGCAGCTCATGCCGGACATAGATAGAGTAAGGGGAACACTAATCTATTGCTTGTGGGAGTGCAAACTTGTGCAGCCACTTTGGGAATTGGTGTAGGAGCTCCTCAGGAAGCTAGAAATAGATCTCACAAGATTCACCTATCCCACTCTTGAGATACACCCAAAGGATTGAATCTACATCCTACTGTAGATACACTTGCTCATCCATGTTCACTGCTGCTCCATTCATAATCCCCAGAAATTGGAAACAACCTAGACATCCATCAACTAACTGATGATCAAAATTTTATTTACACAATGGAATACCATTCACCTGTTAAGAAAAATTTAAAGAAGAACATTGTGTGTTTTTGTTATATGTGGATATTAGCTTTTCATCTTTCAATACATGTGCTACAGTCAACTTTTAAATGGCCCAGCAGTTAAGAAAGAGCATTTGTTCTTCTAAAGGTCTGAGTTTGCTTTTATGAACCCTCATTGGGTAGCTCTTAGCCACATGTAACTTCAGTTCCAGAGAATTCTGGAACTGCACATATGTGGTATACAGTCACATACTTAAACAAGTATGTATAAAAAAATTAAACTTCGATTTTAATATAGCTGTTAGATCTGAAGCAACTGGTGTTCTGTCTTAAAAGACAGTCTTTTTCTAGGAGCAAGGCTAATGGAGACCTGGGCACATGCTTCCCAGTGTGCCCAACAGCCAGAATCCAGTCATCCATGTAGGCCCAGGCACTGTGCCACCCACCCCTCAGCAAGTGCACGGTGAGGAATGTAGAATCCAGGACACCATGTCCCCAAGACTGCTTTCATACTGATTGCACAGTTTTGTATCCCATCCCCCACATAACATCAGCACGGGTATGTTTGTGTGTGCACACTTCATGGACATGGGTGGTGATTCCCTGTGGCTTTGGTTTACACTTCCCAGTGCATCCCGCTGACTGGATGGTTGCTCCAAGCCTTTGGTGTATACTGCATCCTGCTGGGTGTGGAGCAGTGACTCACTTGGCCTTGGTTTATACTTCTCAATGCATGTTGTTGGGTGTGGAGTAGCAACTCACTTGGCTTTGGTTTACACTGACCAGTGCATGCTGCTGGGAATGGGTTGGCTACTCTGTAGATTTGGCTTACATTGCCTGATCCACCCTTCTGGGTGTGGGTGGTGACTCCAGTGCCTTGGCATTTTACACTGCTTGATATTTGCTGTTGCACACCTCACCAGTCTCAGATCTTTGCTGGGGAAATGGCTGCTTTGACTTCTGATCTGTTTTTCTTTTTTTTTTTTAAAGATTTTATTTATTATGTATACAACATTCTGCTTCCATGTATATCTGCACACCAGAAGAAGGCACCAGATCTCATAACGGATGGTTGTGAGCCACCATGTGGTTGCTGGGAATTGAACTCAGGAGCTTTGGAAGAGTAGTCGGTGCTCTTAACCTCTGAGCCATCTCTCCAGCCCCTGATCTGTTTTTCTTACACAATGGCATATTATGTCTTGCTAAGTTGTCTGGCTTCTTCACAAACTGGGTTGGGTCTGTCTTACCATTGCTCATGTTCCATGAGAGTGTCTTCTCTGGGAGTTTCTGAAATTGTTAGGCTCTGACTCCTTTCCATTCTGGAAACAATCTTGCTGCTCTCAGGCTCCCACCTCCCAGAAATGCATGGCTCTGGTCTCTGTCTTGTGTTAGTGACTCAGTGTGAGTATCTGCCCATCTTTATTAAAGTTGTAAAATCAGACCGAGAAAGACAGATTGATACTGAACTACACAGTGTGTCTACACAGACAAATAGGTAAGTGGATGGCAATTCAAATAGGCTTCATTAGCAGTGAGGGCTGAGCCAAGCCCTTGAGATAGTTCAGTGTTCACATTAGATGGTTGTATGATGGGCTGGTGAATTTGTTGCCATCTAACACAATGACAGTGACAAGTGTTCTTACCCTTTCCTTTGCTGTGTTCAATAAATTCTCAGGCCTAGTTTTCCTGGTATGTCTTTAGTACTCCCATGTGCTCATATGCTCCCAATTAGCTTTGTTAAGTGGTACCTGTGGTAGTTTGAGTAGGAATTGCCCGAATAGGCTCATATGTTTGAATACTTGATTCTACTCTAGGGGAACTGTTTGGAGGGGGCGTTTCACTGGGGTCAGGCTTTGAGGTTTCAAAAGCCCAAGCCATTCCTAATTATCCATCTCTGCCTCCTAGCTGTAGATCAAGACATGAGCTCCCAGCTGTCTCTACCATGACTTTGCTGTGACATCTCGGACTCTGCAACTGTAAGCCCAATTAAACCTTGTTTCATAAGTTTCCTCGGTCATAGTATTTTGTCAGAGCAATTGAAAAATAAAACAATCGAGGTAAACTATCGGTATGCATCTTACGGGTGGTATGATGCCAGATAGAAGGTGTCTATGTGCACATCCTGTGTCTGCATCTACTCTCAAGTTGAAGTCAAATGCTGCCTGTGAAATGGAATCACAGAGGGCAGGGTAATGGGGGAAAAAAGACTGTCTCCCACAGCACGGAATAGCTTGGAGCAAGGCACACAGCCTGATCTCAACAGTGTCCTTCCAACCCTGTCAGAGTCTGAGCGCTCATGTTTGCTTGTTTGGCCCAGCTGGCTGCACACTCCCTCTTGTCCTGCAATGATATGACCATTTCACTCCAGCTACCGAAGAGATCATGGAAAACAACTTTAGGTCCGCTGTAGTTCTCGCCTTAGAACATGTCCCAGCCTTGTATTTATTTATTTATTTATTTATTTATTTATTTATTTATTATTTTGCTTCTGGTACATAGGCTTTAAAAAAAAAAGCACCAATTTGTGAGCATTGTTTAAATGCCATCTCTTCCTTTAATTTTGTTTATATGGTGTCTAAGTCAGATTTTCAAAACCAGTATATTTTAAGAATATACCTTAAGCATGTCACTTGTTCTATTAAAGAAATAAGCAAGTCTAGATTGCTCTAGTGTCCCTGGCCTTAGATAAATGGAGCACACCAGACACACACTCCTTGCTTGCTTTAGCTTCAACTTCCTGTATCTGGGAACGTGCTGCGCAGCAGAGTGGAGTCCATGCGTGTGAGCCCGTGTAGCCACTTCCTGTGCCATGGAGACTGTCAAGTGTCCTAGCAGGAGGACTGTAGTGGGCAACATCCTTCTCTCTGCTTTTCTGGTCTATAGTTGGGTGGATTTCTGAAAGAGGTTGCCAGAGAGGCAGACAGACTCCTCTCTTCCTCTGTCCTGTTTTCTTTTCCTTCCCTCCCTCCCTCCCTCCCTCCTTCCCTCCTCTTTCTTTTTATGTTTTTAGAGAAATATAATAGGTTAATTTAGGAAAACAGATAATATTTTCCTACCATTAGTCCTCAGTGTATATTGACTTACCGAATTGTAGTGTTAGAATTCTTGATCCTAAAAATAGCTACTTAAGTTGTGTATTCCCTATAGGAACAGTACCAGTAGAATGAATATGCGTCAAAAGGTATTCATGAGATGAGCCTGCATGATATGGTGTAATCTAATCAGGCTGTCTTCACACTGGAAACCTGGTAAGCATTCAACCCTGGATGTCCCAGCAGTCCCAATATATTGCTGGAGGATTCCTGGAGAGCTACTGGTCTTCAGTTTCCATGGGGAGGCTAAAGAATCTAGGTTCGGACATCCATGAAGTATGGTGGCAGTCGGACAGATGAACTCCCAAGCAGGGCAGGCAACAGCACAAAATGGACTTACTCCTATCTGGGCTACTGTTGGAAGGTGCCACTCACATTAGGGTGGGTCTCCCTTGTGGGAAGCTGTCTTTCAGGGCTGCAGTTGGAGCCAGCTGACTCGCCCATGGTTCGTACTGAGAGTTTGAGTGTGGATAAAGAAAATGTGAGCTAAAGATGTTAAAAGAAAGACAGAGACACTGGAATACAATCAGGAGGGCAGATTCAGTCAATACTGACCATGCTGAATTAATTTTTCACCATTCTTAAATACCTTAACCGAAAGGGGGAACATGGTATCATGTATATGGATGGGACAAACAGATTTTCTCCCTAAATTCTCCAAGAATTTGATAACTACACCTTATATTTAATTTCTCATTATCAGGCCTTGAGGGTCAGGAATAACCACACCTTCTAACAAGTCTGTTGTTATTTAGGTAAGATACCCAGGGACAAGATCAAACATCCTATTGTAGCCATGCCTTAGACCTTTAGGTCTTAAGACTTAGTAAGGACAGTTTTGAACTGTCTGACTTTTAAGATGGAGTGGAGCCATCTTTATAGGCCCCTGACACTCCCCTAATCAAGAAAATCCCTCACAGCCTGTGTAGAAGTAAATCTAATCTTGTTAATTCCTGTGGAGTTCGGGGCCAGTAGAGACTATGCACTGAGCACAGAGAAGGAGAGTGGGTGGTGGGCTTCCTGTGCTGTAGGCTTGAGAATTCAATATTCACATAATCACATCGTATCTCTACATGTAGGCACGTGGATGGCACTTGCTTTCTACCTCTAGTAGTGAAAAGATGGCATTATTGTGTTTAGTACTAGCCCCCAGTTTCTCAAAACATGGCTAGACTGTGGCGGCTGTAGTATGTTACTGAAACCTATACATGCAAAGGAGCTGCAAGAATATTTTTTGGGGGGTAGAACTGGAACTGGTTTTCCCTGAAAATATGAGAGAGAGAAATGCTGTCTTGAACTGACATTCTTCAGGGGAGGAGAAACCTCAGCTCAATTCCCATGTGCAGGCTTAAGTCCAGGCAAGACTACTTGCCACCCGTCATTGTTTGCATCTCAGAACATACAGAACACATGTACATGTGTGTGCATGTGTTTATGTGTGATGGGGTGTGTAGAGACAGTTTCTGTGCAGCCTGGTCCCGCCGCCGCCCTTCAGTCCTAAATAAACACACTGAGGCTTATATTAATTGTAAACTATTTGGCCAATGACTCAGGCTTCTTACTGGCTAGCTCTTTCTTAATTATTAACCCGTTTCTATTAAACTTTGTATTGCCACGAGGCTGTGGCTTACCTGTAATGCTCCGGCATGTTACTCCTTTGGCAGCTACATGGCGTCTCTAGAGTAGCTCCTCTCTGCCTTTCTCTTCCCAGAACTTTCCTAGGCTGGTAGCCCTGCCTATACTTCCTGCCTGACTACTGGCCAATCAGTGCTTATTCATCAACCAATAAGAGAAGCATATATTCACAGCATACAGAAGGACACCCCCCTCCAATCAGGGGTGTGGCATACTGGTGTGTAGTGTGAACAGGGCCATGGAGGGAGTAGCCAGGTTGAGGGGGTAGGAGGTGAACATGCTGGTAGCAGCAGGTGCTGTCTGCAGTGAGTTGGAGGCATCTGTGGGCAGGTGGACTAACTAGCAAGGAGGGAACAGGAGACACAGTGTGGAGAGTCTAAACAAGGCATCAACCTGTGATCTGGAGGCTTTACAAAGCTGGGAATGGCTGCAAGAGCCATGTGTCAGGAGCATGGTAGCAGGGAAGATGTAAGTCTAGAATAACATGACTTTGCTTACATGAAGTTTAAAGCATGCAAAACTGACATGACAATATTGATATTGATTGAATGTGTCTCCCAGAAGTTGATGGGTCTGAAACATCCCCAAATTCTTACAGTGGTGGTATTTGGAGGTGGGGCCTGTGGAAAGCAGGCAATACTAGGTGAGATTTTGAGGCTGGGACATCGTAACTATGAAGTTACAAAAAGAAGGAAAGTGGCTCATTTGTCATATATGCTGGCACTAGGTGACAGTACAGCCTGAAACCGTCACTTGGGAAGATACCTCCACAGCCGTGAACCAAGTGAACCTTAATTCCTAGCCCCCCAGACTGCAGAGCTAAGGGCATACTGCACATGCCTGTGATAATTCTGTGTCAGCAAACAAAATTTTGCACACTTGTCACGGAAAGAAGATGGGAGGGTATGTGGGTCTCTTCCCAGGTAAACACAGAAATCTATATCTTTCAATGAAAGCAGACCTCCAGGAGTTCACTTTATTTTCTAAATGTTTTGTGATCAATATTTAAACAAACTATAGATGCAAAGAACAGTCTGAATAAAATTTGATTGTGTGTGTGTGGGGAGGTGGAGGAGCTTTTTTTGTTTTCTTGTTTGTTTGGGACAGGATCTCATTCTGTATCCCAAGTTGGCCTTGAACTCATGGCACTCCTCCTATCTCAGGTTCTCAGTTGCTGGGAATACAGGTATGAGCTACCACACTAGTTTGCAAAGACTGTTTCTAAGGACACATTCGTCTCCCCCAAGGGCTTTGCATACCATGTACAATGCCCTGTCTAGAAGTCTGGGAGATGGCTGGACAATCCCCCTCCCCCCTCCCTGCCCCCCAGCCTGCTGCTTAGGAGGTCACATGCCACAGTAAGAAATTCTGCTTTGTGACAGGTCTCCACTGAATGGTCAGGCCCAGGCCACCTGCAGAAGGAGCCCTTAGATGTTTAGCTCTGTGGTTTGCAGGACCTTGAAACTATAGGACCAGCTTGTGGTAGGTGAGCATCAGGTTGATGTTAGGGATCCGATGATGTTCAGGATGGAGGGGTAGCTATCAGGCCCTACCCACCTCATTCACATTCTTTGTCAAATCCAAAAAAAAAAAAAAAGTCAAGAACAGATAGTCGGGGCTGGAGAGATGGCTCAGAGGTTGAGAACACTAGCAGCTCTTCCCAGAGGTCCTGAGTTCAATTCCCAGCAACCACATGGTGGCTCATGACCATCTGTAATGAGATTTGGTGCCCTCTTCTGGTGTGCAGATATACATGGAAGCAGAATGTATAATAAATAAATAAATAAAATCTAAAAAAAAAACAAAAAAAAACAAAACAGAGGGGCTCGGAAGTTGTTCCTAAAGATATTACAGTTTTTCCCCACACATGCCTGCAGCATTGGTGACCAAGAGAGTCTCTCCAGGGAGAGAATGTACATGCATCGTCCATAAGCCATCCCCACAATACATCCTGAGGATCTGGATATCCCTTGTGTCCCATCTGTGGAAGGTTTGGTTCCCCAGTAGAACCACCATGAGGAATAACAGGTAGGACCTAATAGAGGGGATGGGGTTGGGGACATGCCCTTGATGGTGGCTGTGGGACCTAGCTCCTTCCTCCTGTTTTTGCTCCCAGGCTTGGGAAGAGCTTAGTGGTTTGCTCTGCCATAAAACCCAACATGATGTGCTGCCTTGCCCTAAGCCCAAATCAGCCTATCTGTCCAACCATGGGCCTCCAAACCTGGGACCCCAAACAAACCTCTCCTTATAAGTTGATTATCTCAGGTATTCGTCATAGTGACAGAAAGCAACACAGAGAAGATGGAACTTCCTCCTGAAATCCTCAAGCTCCCTCCTCCCACCTGTCCGTGATCAGACCGGTGGCCTGGTTTTTGTCACTGTAAACCAGTTCAGATTTTCTAAACTCCTACTGAATGGACCACACCCTCTTGGGGTCAGCACCATCATCACCAGAGCACATCAGTGGTTGACAACTTCCTTTCAGGACATGCCCCAAGCCACTGTCTGTTGTCAGCCGGAGACCTGTACCCGGTGCCATGTCCTTAAGTGGTGAAGATTCATGTGGACTAGGCAAGACAGACTAGATGGACATGCTACACTTGTGGGATTCTCGGGCACCTAGTCCCGCCTCGGCTTTATTTTCAATGTTCTGACTTCAAAGGTAAACCTGATTTCACGTTTGATCGATGGTGCTGGCAGTCATACTTGTCACCTTATTTTATTGCTCCCCCCTTCATCAATATTAGGTTAATCCACATGGACCCCCTTTAGATTGGAATCGGCACACAGTAGAAGCTGCACAGGGATCTATCTAATATGTGTGATGCTGACAGAGACTGCCAGCTGTCTTTGACATTGTGAAAACTAATCTTGATTGTCAATCTAGGATTGTCTTGGAGACAAGTCTCTGGGCCTGCCTATGAGAAATTTCCTAGATTGGGGTAACAGAGGTAGGAAGGCTCACTCTGTATGTGGACTGTATCAAAAGGAGAAAGTGAGCAAACACTTAGCATTTATTGTTCTCTGCTTTCTGGCTGTAGATACAATGTATCCGGCTATGGATACAATGTATCTAGATATAGATACAATGTACCTGGCTATAGATACAATGTGCCTGACTATAGATACAATGTACCTGACTATAGATGCAATGTGCCTGACTATAGATACAATGTACCTGACTATGGATACAATGTACCTGACTATAGATACAATGTGCCTGACTATGGATACAATGTACCTGACTATGGATACAATGTACCTGACTATAGAGACGATGTGCCTGACTATAGATACAATGTGCCTGACTATAGATACAATGTACCTGACTATAGATGCAATGTGCCTGACTCTATCATGCTCTTGCTGCTACATCTTCCCCACCATCTTGGGTGTAGTTGGACTTTCCTCTGGTCTGTCAGTTCACAAATAAAAACACAGAGACTTTTTTTTTAATTAATTATGAAAGCTCGGTCTTAGCTTAGGCTGGTCCCACTAGTACTTATAACTTAAATTGATCTATTTATATTAATCTATGTTCTTCCCCGTGGTGTTACCTCATCTCCGTACTCCCCACCCTGCCTTCTCCAAGTCTGGCTGGCGACTCTGCCTTTCTTCTTCCCAGAGTTCTCTCTCTGCTCAGAAGTCCCGCCTATACCTCCTGCCTAGTTATTGGCTGTTTGGCTTCTTATGACACCAATCACAGCCATACGTTTCTCAAACAGTGTATACATATCCCACAACCCTTGGATGACCCCCTGGAACTGTCAGCCCAAATAAACCTTTCCTTACATTGCTTGGCCAAGTGTTTCATCAAAGCAGTAAGAAAACTAATATAGGAATGGTTACGTGTGTAACTTAAGAGCCCCTACTGCTTCCAACCTCCCTTTACTGAGACTACAGCAACCATCTGAAGTAGCGGGGCCCATGAGATTCGCGGAAACTCAATGTGTAAGAATACTTTTTCCGGGCTGGAGAGATGGCTCAGCGGTTAAGAGCACTGACTGCTCTCCAGAGGTCCTGAGTTCAATTCCCAGCAACCACATGGTGGCTCACAACTGCCTTGAATGAGATCTGGTGCCCTCTGCCTGCATGCAGGCAGAAGACTGTATACATAATAAATAAATAAATAAATAAATAAATAAATAAATAAATAAAATCTTTTAAAAAATAAAATCTTTAAAAAAATAAAAGAATACTCTTCCCGTGCACCTTGGGGTGTTACTTTCCCTGCCTTTGCCTGTTGTCTTCTGCATACAGGAGTGACAAGTCAGAAATTCGAGCTGCCATCACAGAAGGGCAGGGGTAGCTGACAGTGCTTAGTTCTGACTACACAGAGCAGCAACCAGCCTCAGGACACCAGTGCTAGATTTCTGTTGCATAAGAAAACAAATCCATAGTTTGTTTAAACTGCTTGATTACTATTAATTTTTTTTTTTTTTTGCGGGTGGGGGGGTGTTGTATGAACTCCAAATCTGGGAGGTTGAATTATCCTTGTACTCCCAGGAAGAAGGTCCTTTACTCCCAGAGCTTTGATGTGAGACAGCTCTCATTTCCAAACGTGGAGGAAAAGCAGAGACCGTTGCAAACAGCCTTATTACGCTTCCTTTTCATCATTGTTTTTGTCACCATGATATTTTACAGCAAACCTCCGGCTTTGCCCGATTCGCCTCACAAATTCTCCGAAATGTGTCTCTAATCATTAAACTGTCTTAAATAAAATGAAGCAATTACCACACTTGAAAATTTTCCCCAAGCACGGTGTTACAAACTTGTAATCTCAGTACTTGGTGAGCTGGAGTAGGAGGATCCTAACCAGCCCTGGCTTATCTCAAAAAGTCTTTTCTCCAGGCAGCAAGATGTCTCCGCAGTTAAAGCTCTTGCCACACCGCAGTGACAAACAACGCTTGATCCCCGGAATGCGCATAAAGATGGAAGTAGTGAAAGAACTCTCAAATATGTCTGTCCTCTGACCTCCACACGTGCACTATGGTACACATGCCCCACATACACGTTAGACTACAACATCGGCAACAACAAGACCCTTAAAATTAATCAGTTAAAGTTCCAAAACGTGAAGTAAAGCTGCTTAAAATACTTTTTATGCCAGACTTAATTATGTTGCTACCACTAAACTTGTTAGATGATGTACTTCATTGTCATCTAATTCTGTTTATTCAAGTTTTTCTGTCTGAAAATGCATTTTCACAGTGGTTTGCTAAAATCTGGTTTCAAACTAATGAATTCATATGTTCTTTAACACTTTCAATATGTAACAAGTTCCTTTCTCTCTCCCACGTGGATCTTTTGAAGAGACTGGGTGACTTGAGGCATTCTGTACATTTGCCATGCATTTTAATTTATGCTTGTCTATCTCTTCTCTCCTATGGATGAGTAGAGGCTAGTTAAGACTAGAAGTTCATTTTCCTCAGGGAAACTGAGCACTTCCTGTTGGGTTGTGGACGTTGCAGGTGTTTTGACTTTATCCGGGAGGGATGGACAGTCCTAATGACTATTATCTACATTGTTTCTAATGGTGTTTTTTTTTTTTTTTTTTTTTAAATTCTTTGAGACTTTTTATACCTTGTTTTCTGATCAGACTCATACCCTTCCCACCCCTCCCAGATCGTCCCCCACCTCCCTACCCACCAAACTGCTTGTTCGTCCCCTCTTTCTCTTTCCCTCTCCTCCCTTTCAAAAGTCCAGTTTGTGTGGGCAGACTATTCCTGGGTATGAGACCTGTCCTGGAGTGTGGTTGATGTACCAGGTATAGAAAACTAATTTGTCTTCTTTGAGCGGAAACCAGATGACAGAAGCTCCTCAACTAGGATGGACTTTGTGCCCACACTCCCACTCCTGGCTGGATTTGTCCGTCTGAGCTCGTGTAGGTCTTGTGTGTGGAACATAGTTGCTGTGAGGTCATATGCACATCTGCCCTGTTGCTTTTAGAAAACACTGTTTTCCTGAAGTCAGACACTGATTCTGGCTCTCACAATCTTTCTGGCCCCTCTTCTGCATAGATTTCTCCCTATCCTTGGGGGAATGGGCATGACATAAACATCCCATTCAGGGTCAGGCACTCTAACGTCTTGAACTCTCTGCTTATTGGCCAGTTGTGTGTCTTTGTGTTAATTGCCATCTACTGCAAAAAGAAGCTTTGTTGGTGAGGGTTGGGCAATGTTCTGTCTTAAAAATAAGCAACCTTAAAAGGATTTGCATATCATCCTTGCTCAGGGCCCATGCTAATCTTCTCTAGATCCGTCCAATTTTAGCACATGGGCTGCCAAAGCAAGCACATCTACATTATTTTTATACTACAAGATAAGAAAGGGCAATTTTTTAAAACCCATCATTCTTTTGTGTCGATTATGAGCACTTTCACTGTAAAGAAAAAAAAAATTCCTTCAAAAATCATGCAGTGACCCAAATATCCGAAGCAGCAAGGTTGAGATGAATACTTGGATTCCCCCGCCAATCAGCTTTTAAAAGGATGGCTTGGTGCCAGAATTCTTTAGCTGTCAGGGATGTTTTTTAGTATCATTATGGATAAATGTGTCTTTGTATTTCCGTCTTTTCTTTTTTAAAGACAGGGTGTCTCTGTGTATCCCTGGGTGGCCCCAACCTCGCTCTATGGACCAGGCCTCCTCTGCCTCCCAAGTGCTGGGATTAAAGGTGTGTACTACTACTGCCCTGCATGTCTTTGTATTTCTGATACATTTTATTTCATTGAGGTCATTATCTTTGACTTCTAAGAGCTTCTTCAATTTTTTTGTTTGTTTGTTTTGTATTTTTGTTTTGAGACAGGGTCTCACTTTTGATCCTCCTATATACCACCATGCCCAGGTAAGCCACAGTTCCCTCCTATAGTCCCTTACAGGCTCCCATCTCCTAACAATGTTTCCACACCTGGATTCTATGCAATGGCCACTGAGATGCCCTTCAGTAGGGAAAAAAAAAAACAAATCCATACTCTGTATAATCTTTTATTAGTGGTAGAAGTTTCAGAGACCTCTCATCTCTTAAACTGGAGTTGCTACAACCAATCTCATACAGGCAAAAGGTCACATGGGAGGTGCTGAGATGGAGCATAAGATGTCCACTTAATAGTGTCCAGACTGCTGTGTGAGTTTGTGTGTGTGTGCCTGGCTGCTGCATTTAGGGGGGCAGTTAATGCTTTAAAGTAGGGACAGCGTAGAGGATATTCAGACTGGGAGTTTCTTTTTCATCCTCAGAGTCACTTGGTCCTCTGATGTCCCTCAGCGGAGACCTACAGTCCAAATGGCTGATGGTAAACATCCTTTGATATAGGACCTGGGCTCACATCCCAGTAGCCCAGGCTCTGCTCCATCGTCAGAGACACAAATCTCTCCAAAGAGCTCGGTGGTTTTAATTAACTAAGGCTTTTTGGGTCCTTTATATCGCTGAGACTGAAAGGTGAATTGTGAACGGGGCCTTCCCAGATTGCAAATGGAAACGGAAAGCCTCCCTATAGGAACGCCAGTGAATTGAACACAGTCACACCTGGGCACATTGAGATTGCAGGCTGATAGTTCTCAACCTGCCCAGAACAAAACTGGCCAGCAAAACACAGCCAGAGCCTGGAGGAGAGCATAATCCCAGGCGGCCAGACTCTCGGCTCAGTGTGCCAGGAAGAGGTCATCCTGGCTGGGCGTGTTCAGGGTGCGGTCATCCCCAGGTTTTAGGTCTTTGTCGTTTCATCAGGGTAGTAGTGAAGAGCTCATAGAAACCGTTTCCCACCGTTTGTCTGGAGAGCGTGGCGAATCAGACTGGTGTGCGTTCTTTCAGGTCTTCTCTCCCTTGAGCTTTCTGTTGTGGAAGACTTGAGCGAGCGTGTGAGCCCCCGGTGACACCAAGTGTTTCAGCCCCTGGAGTGCCAGGCAGTTATCCTGTCTGTGCTGGCCGCCCCTCGTTCTGATGAAGGTTGCGTGCTGTCTGAGGAGCTGGCTTTAGGAGGGCTTTTGGTCTCAGACTTTCAGGTTCTTGGACAGATTTTACCATTTCCTGGATAAAGGACCTGGAAATACGGCTGAGGACTCAGGTCTGAAGGCCACATGTGTTAGTTAGCATTCAGGCACCTGTAGTGGCCTGCCCCTGGGGTCCTGACTGATACGCCCTCAGCTGCAGCCAATACGAGCCTCACCTGTGCACATTCACTATGTTCCCTTTTATCTTCCTTCTGTCCTCCTTTCCTCCCCCCCTCGTGTGTGTCTCTCTGCTTCTCTTTTTCCCCGCCCCCCCTTTTCTGTTCTGCCACTCCTGTCCCTAGAATCTGGTCTCTTCCCTCCCCTCCCTCATTTCCCCATTCCCTTTCCCCTAATAAAAAGACCCCTCCACGTGAGCTCTGTCGCATGGTGTCTTGCTCGCATCCGAATTTTAAATTACAACATGCACCCCAGCTCAGCTTGGACACACAAAATTGTAAACTTAAAACAATATAAGATTTTCTTAGAAAATTTCTTAATTTTTATAACCTGATTGGTGCTTCAGAGGTCCCCGATGTTTGTTGTTATGAATCACAGACGGCTTATAAAATAAAATAAAATAAAATCTAGTAAAGATTTTATGACGACACCCCCACCCCTTACAGGGGCTGCCAGGTTTCTCAGTCAAGTGACCGAAAGAAGGCAGCAACTGTAGACCTTATTAGAAGGCAACTTGTCCATAGAGTCCAGGACAAGGTGCAAACAGGGACACAACCTGAGCCACAAACACCAAGGGCTGGGCCTTGGTGCTAAATCTACGTGGCCACCCCAGCCACATCCTGCCTAACTCCATCCGCTCACACTCACGTTCCAGGGAGATGGTCTGTTTGAGTTGCTTTGGGGTGCAAGCCTTACTTATGGCCACTTGACGGACAGCAGTTCAGGGGAGAAGTCCTAAAGGAAAAATCAAAGTTTACTTGGCCTTGCAATGGGGAAGGTCTGCGTAGACACTGCCATCACCAACACTCTTATCTCTAAATCGTCATTGCCGCCGCCATCGTCACTCCCACCATCGCCACCTCTGTCATCTTCACCCTGTAACCACTGACATAACCAGCCTCATTGCCACCACCACTTCATTAAGATCACCGTCACTACAGATAGTCTTCACCATGGCAACTGTCACTATCAACTATCACCACTGTCACCACACCAGCGTCACCACCACCACTTATACCCTAATCACGCCGACAGTATCTGCTGCCTCACCACCATTATCTCCAACCCAGGGTAACTACCCCAACAACCCCACCCTGATCAACACACCCCGGCCAGCACCCGCTCTATCTCTTCCATCACTTTTGCTTCAGCCACTGCCACCACCACCATCACGATCACAACCAGCACATCGAACATTAGAATCACTACCAAAGGGCTGGAGAGATGGCTCAGAAGTTAAGAGCACTAGCAGCTCTTCCAGAGGTCCTGAGTTCAATTCCCAGCAACCACACGGTGGCTCACAAACCATCTGTAGTGAGATCTGATGCCCTCTTCTGACTTGCAGGCAGATATACACGGAGGCAGAACACTGTCTACATAATAAACAAATAAATCTTTAAAAAAAAGAAAAGGAATCACTACCAGAAACAATCCTAATGACCACCACTGTGATTATTCCCCACCAACACTGCCAACACCACACCACCAAGGAAACCATTCAGACTTCTCCTTCTCCTTCTCCTTCTCCTTCTCCTTCTCCTTCTCCTTCTTCTTCTTCTTTTGTTTCTCTGTGTAGCTTTGGAGCCTATCCTGGCACTGGCTCTGGAGACCAGGCTGCCTCTGCCTCTCGAATGCTGGGATTAAAGGCGTGTGCCACCAACGCCCGGCTCCATCCAGACTTCTTGATTTTGTTTCTTGCTGTCTCCTAACTAGCAAAATGCTGTTAACGAGGTATATAACATACTAAGCTCAATTCATCAGAGGTTCAGGGTCCTAGAGCGATACTGGGAGTGTGTGTACCTTTCTTCTCCTACTCTGGAATTGCACTCTGGAGCCAGTGACACTCTCCTGGGGCCTGGAAACTCCCTGTAGCTGGGAAGTGAGGCCAGGCTGTGGAAACAGCACCTTACAGAATGGGGTGGCATTTACAGGCAACAGAGTTACGCTTAGCTTCCACAAGGGTCAGAACGACTGGCTGCTATTCCTACAGAGTTTTCAATAGACTTCACAGCCCGAACCCTGGCCATCCTCTCCAGGGGCTGACAGCCATGTTTGCTGTTCAGCTAGCAGGGTGGGCTGTTTAAATGGTGGAGAAAGCAATTAAATGTGGGAGTCAGGGAGTTTGGATTATTTTAATTAGTAACATACTACTTAATTAGTATGTTACTAAAGGAAACATACTGTGTCATTTAGTAAGGACTGAAACATTTCCCTAAAGGAACAGGGATTGAGCCTGTCCCCTCATGCCTCCCCTCCACCCCCCTGCCAGGCATTATACATCCCCAGCAGGGAGCATGGAGAAGCTAACTGACCACTTGCTCTAAAAGCTTACTGTCTTCCATTAAGGTTTCTATTGCTGCAAAGAGACACCGTCATGAGGCCAACTCTTATAAAGGGAAACATTTAATTGAGGTGGCTCACTTACAGTTCAGAGGTTTAGTCCATTATCATCATGGCAGTGTGTAGGCAGACATGGTCCTGGCTACATCTTGATTGGAAGGCTACAGGAAATGGTCTACGACACTAGGTGGTATCTTGAGCATAGGAGACCTCAAAGCCCACCCCCACAGTGACACACTTCCTCCAGCAAAACCATACCTACTCCAACAAAGCCACACCTCTTAATAGCACCACTTCCTGAGATTATAGGGGCCAATGACATTCAGACTACCACTCTTGCCTTGTTTTTGTCCTTTGTAGAGCTATTTCAACAGCTGTTGGTGCTTGAAGACACCAACCCCCAGGCCTTCTACCTGGAGAAGGAAATCATGGCATTACCTGGTGCCATCTGATGACAGGTGTAAGCCCTAGGATTCACAGCTGAGTCACATGCTCATGACCCCCTGTAACAGTGACTGTAAAGGAATACTTTTTAATTATGCACATGCTTGATGCCATAGCCCTGCCTCCTGCTGTTTATGGTACCTGGTCTCTCTCTGCTCCTTGTTATATATTTCATGGTGATGCTGATCATGTGACGGGAAGCCTCCTGCCACCCCTGAAAGGTTGTAAAGTTAGGTCCTTCCTTTGTCCTGGGGTTTGGACTGAGAGTCCCCAGGGAAGCTGATCAAGAATTTGGTTAGGGCTTCTCACTGAGGGCTCCTCTGGAGGCCCCTCTCTCTCCCATTCCCACT